TTCTACTAATAACATTTTTTAAAACTATATAAATTTAATTGGATTGTACAACGCACACTAAACAATTATATAAATTTGATGGCGTTGATTTGATAGAAACCGCATGTATAAAATGGAAGCATTTCTCTACTATATAAATGTATATTTTTTATAAAATACAGTAAAATATTAGGGTATGATCGGGTGGACTGCCAAACTGGGGAGTGGGGTGAAGAGTGGTTATTTAACCTTAAAATTTTCCATTGAGTTTATAAAAGAATGGTTTATAGCAAGAAAAAATTAAATACCTTGTGACGACTTCCATTGGATTATATAAAGCAACAATAGGCAAATGAAGTGAGACACAATACCTTAGGGCATATATTTAATTTGACTAACAAAGTAACAATCAAGATCATAAATATTATTGGTCATACCATTTTTACAGATGTTAGTATATAGATAGGGTATGTGATGGAGGGACGCTGGTGCCTCCGTGCGCAGCGTGCTTCCATGCATGCGGACAGAGGCACGCTGGTGCGTGCACGGGGGCACTAGTAGGGAGGCACAACGTGCCTCCGTGCACGCTGTGCCTACTTCCGCGTGCACGGAGTCTTCACACAACTATCACCTCATCCCCTGGAAATGCAGCATAATCCTTTATTTTCACGTAACTATCACTTCATCCACAGCACACAACCATTGCAAGAACTCTCCCTCAGCCTACTAATAAGCAAATGTTCGAGCTCTATTCTAAATCATCCCATCGAAAACGAGAAATACATGTGCTTCTCTGTTAGTGCACGACTTGATGAAATCAGGTAGAAAATGGCGGCGGTTCGGAGTTTCATCACGGACCTGAATCGAGTCGGTAAGGTGGTAAAGCTTGCTGCTTTTAGTCCTTTAGATTCTGCTCGTGAGGCGTTGCGAAATTTGATGCTCAATCGATCTCGCCAAAATGGTAAACCCTTTGCCTTTTCTGCTCTTTCCAATTTATTGCTTCAGGTTTTCATTTGACTATTTTTGTTTTTTTTTTTTTCCTTTGTTTTGAAAATTGNCAAAGTTGAATATGAGGTGTTATTATTATTATTATTATTATTATTATTATTATTATTATTATTATTAGTTTCTGGATATTTTAATTTTTCCTTGAATTTTGACTTTTCTCATTTTGCAATGTATGTTCATCGATTGGTTGTAAATAGGGATCCAAAATTCACCGATTTTGTGGAGGTTAGCATTTCTAAACTATTAGATTTTATTTACTAAAGTTTTAATTTTGAGCGGACATTTGTTTCTTTATCAATTTATGCACTGTTACACTTCGAGGTTTAATTAAAACATGAGATTAATCAGTTGAAGTGGCATCTTGGTCATTATTTTGTATAGATCACAACATTTAAGGTCATTTTTTTGAGGTCATTAATTTATATTATGCAAGAAACGTTCTTTTTTCCCTTACCCAAAGCAAATTCAATTTTCCCAATTCTTTAGGTCTCCAGATAATTGTTCTTCGATGCAAATCTTGACATTGAGCTCCAGCTCCTTCTCTTGACTCTTCCTCACTGTGGTTGGCCTTCTACTGTAAACCTTTCGGTATTCTCAGTGTCAAGAAACTTTTTTTTTTCTCTTACCCAAATCAAATTCAATTTTCCCAATTCTTTACACTGAGCTTAACTGTGAATTGATTTCTTCTTCCCGACAAATCGATTTCCATCAAAATCAAGATTGGAGTTGTATAATTCCTCTATCCATTCGGGCTAAGCACAATTCCACATTTACATACCGGTCCTCTGGCAAAAGCTTAATCTCTAGTACTTGAAGCATTCTTCTTTACATCTCATTGTTTGTATGTATTTCCAAGGAGAATTGGACAAGACTATTCCCATAATTCATCTATTCATTCTGGCCAACCATTGTACTCGATAGATCGTGAGAAACAACTCTCTCATCAAGAGTAAATTCGATTCCACGATTTTTGCTTTATGGCCGAAAGCTTTTTCCATGGGCATCTTCTGCCTTCTATTTGCTGCATTATGAAGTTCCAAATGAGATAGATTGTGTAGGATTTTTGAGTTCTAAAATTACAAATAAAGAATGCTTGTGATAGTGTAGGAATGTTTCTTGTGTTCTGTTTCAACTCAATGGTTGTAATGGTATGTGTACTAGTGTTAATGGTTGTGAAATCGTCAAAGGAAACCTGATGTATTTTAGAGTTTCAAATTGAATGGGTTCCTAATGTGTTCATCTTAGTAACATTTATGTTTAGTTTTATGTTGGTTAATGTCATCTTGGAATTGAAAAATGTATAATTAGTTTGTGAATATAGTATTTTGGAATTCGGCTGTAATTACCAGAACAACAAATTAATAACAAAATCCCATTCTAACTCCATCTGATCAAGTTCAACATTAAACCAAATTAATTTCCACTTCACAACTTTTAAATGTTATGCAACATAGAAATTAAACACAAAATTATATCAGTGCATCATCGTTTCTTTTCTTCAAAACCCAAAACACACCCATGAAACAACATGATAACACTACTGAATTGCTGAATTTTTCCCTGGAGTTGAAGATGAAATTGACTCTCGAACAATCCTTTTGTTTCTTGTTATGGCTGCCCTATCAATTGCAAGTCTTCTACCAAGGATTCAAGTGGGGTTGCCCATTGTTGAACTACCTATCTCATTAAGTGTAGGAGCATAGTCTGTAAAATGTGCTCCACTAGTTATATGAATTCCAGGGGTTGACATGTATTGAAAATTAGATGCTGGTTCCGGTTGTTGCACTTCAGATATAGACATCTTCCATAGTCTCCTAGGCATGAGTTTTTCCCGTATAAGTCGTCATATATGATTACAAAAATTATTTCACATGCTTATTAATGGACGATATTAGGATGAAGTTGTTTACCCTTAAACTTTCACTACAAACGTGACTGGAGCTTCCTTCATTTACAGGATCTGCAGCCCCATAATACTAATCCTGTAACAAGCATTTAAACGAAGATCAATTGTTCATATAGTTTGGAAAATAATAAAAAACACAATGTAGATTTTACAATAAACCAACCTCATGTGGTGCATTAGTTTTTTGATGATACCTCTTGTTGTGGCCTATTAATCCACATGCACTACAAGTAATAATCATAGTACCATTTTTATTCAACTTTGCTTTGGATCCAGAACTAGTTAAAACATCTTCTTCTTCATGTCTATGCCTCTTCTTCTGTTTTCTTCCACTTTTAGGCAAAACCCATTCTGGTGGTTTCACTGGGGGAGCATCCCCTCGAGGCCATAATTTTGTTCCGTTGATAGGATTTATTATATTATCGTAATAGCTGATATATGTGCTCATTCTATAACACTCATGTACATACTTCCAAGGCTCACCTCTTCTATCGAAAATAGAAGCAACTGCACGAGCACAATGAGTCCTCGATAAATCTCATCTCTTACATGCACACGTCTTGTTCAGTAGATCAATGTTCGCTAAAATCTATGCCGCAAGCGCACGGGTTGAGAACAAGTAGTAAAAGTGGACCTTTA